TGAACAATTAGTTTTTTGTATAGTTATAAGTAGTTGAAAACAGGAGCCCAACATTCCCATTATAAGACCATTTTAATAATAGGCCGCATTTGTTGCCTGATCTATTCACTGTGTATTGGTTATTTAAGAATTCCCAGTTTAGCAAATTAACACTCTGAGGTTTGACCAGGTTCTAGTTCCAAGACAAGCCCAACAGTTGTTAGAATTATTGTTAAATTGGAAAACCAATGTGCATGTTTGCAACAGTCACACTTAAGAAAAAAGTTCTGAGCTTTCAGTAGTTTTATTAACAAGGTTAGTAAACACAAATGTTATGATCCAAACAAGAATGTAACAGTAATGCAATATTAACTTTACATCCCGTGTCATTTCATATGCATACTCACACAATCCTTGCAAAGACCTAAGAGAAGGGAGACGGGTGGTGATCAATGAGGATCCCATTCTATCTCAGGTGTGCCGAACGATTCCAGTGATCGAGGTCTCAACGGTCTAGGCTATGAGTTAGCGCTGCTATGGCTGCCATGAATATTCATAAGTGTTTAGCTTCCTTTGCCTGTAACTAACTTCTTCACCCTAATAACGTTGGTGTGCCCTTATTCTATAGGTTACTATACTAATTACCTATCAAATGTATTAGCATATGCGTAAGCCCCTATGTTTTCAATTTAAACCGATTTTTACTGAAAAAATCCTGGATTTTACAAAAAGTATTTTTTTCTGATTTTTCACCCTACTTTTGTAACATTCAAATATATTAAAAAATAACTTGTTTTATGAGGAAAATATAATACATTGCATGAGATATATGTATTACGATAATACATTAGTCTATGTGTATATGCAAAACTGCCTGTTGAAGTAAGGCTATGTATTAGTCTAGAAGATACACACAATAAACAGACACACATGCAAGCTCTGATCAGAATACGTTTCAGAACACAATGAAGTATCTGAAAGTTTAAAAAAAAAAAAAAAGAGAGAAATGGATGAAGTTGAGGGTATTGGCTGCAAATGGTGTGGCCCAATTATTAAATGTAAATATTTATAGGCTAATAGTTCTAAGTCTACAACAGTAAACTGTTGATTCAAATGAAAAATTTTATTTGGGGATTAGAGATGTATTGTTTTCTTAAACTCAGAGATGTCATGTTTTGAGTTCTGTTTTAGTTCTGCAGCAAACCACATTGAATTTCATTCATCAGAAATTAATCTCCTGAATACTTCTTCCCCGTCCTTCCGTCCACCAAAATAAACATCAATATTTACCCAGAAAAATTAATAATTTTTTCACCAATTTTTCCCCTGTTTTGGTTGTTGTAGTAATAAAAACCGATAAATTTCTGGGAAAAATTAAATAAAATGAAAACTGAAAATGAAGGGCCTTATATAGACATCAGTCAGTTACCAGAGCAATCCTGTGGTTAAGCATTAGTTTTCCTATCCTAAAATACTCAAATGGTATTTCAGCAGAACTGTTTATTGCAAAAATTATATCTTATACCATCTTATGAATTAGGGACACTGTTGATCAACTTACCAATGCTAAATAAGCCTATCTTATGCTAAATGCTTAAATTAATGTCTTACAGGGTTGGGCCTGTAGGCTTCTTGCACTGCTGTCTTATACCTACATTTTATCCTTATACTTAAAAATTGCCTTAATACCGCTAGTTTAACCTAGAGATTACACACTACGCGCCTCACTTACAATATGTGCACACCCAGAATATATACACCTATCATGACAAGAGAAAAGCTAGTTGATGTGGTCTTTAATCCATGGAGCCTTTAGTGGGCTAACTATGGGGATTGGGGGGGGGGGGGGTGTTTTTTCAGTCTCATGGAATGTGGAAGAGAGTTTTAATTGTTTCCTCTGAGATTTTTATAATAGATTAATTTGAAATTATATTTTTGACATGATCGAGCATCAGCACTTAGTGTGCTATGTCAAAAAGACACCCCTCATTCTTGGGTCACTGTTTGCCACGCTGCTTCATGAAATAGGTGGGGAGGGGGGAGTTTGAGTTATAAACACTGTCACATCCTTAATTAATAGAGCTGTGCACTTACAGGCAAATTAACCAGCTATATTTGAAGTGCAGTTTGACGTAACTGTTCTGAGTTACATTACGGAAGCACAGCAGCTTTTATCTTCCTTTTGATAAATGTTTATAAACTTTAAAAGCAAACTTATTCCCCCCCTTCCCCTTCCTCTCTCTCTCTCTCTCTCCATATAACTAATGCTTGTGTTTTTCCTAGTGCTTTAACTGGATTTTCTGATTGTGTAGTGAACGACTATAAGCCCTTTATCTACTACCTACTAATATTTGAAAGATTCTCGTCTTTCCTACATGTCTAGTCTAGCTCTAACAATGTGCTGATAACTATGACCCTCTGGCTTTTCATTGCTGATTTCTAGATCTACTTCATCGAGGAACAAAGAAAACCTTTTACCCATTCTGTTTCTTTTCGTTTAGTGTTTTGTTTACATCTTGTCACAAACTATTATTGAGGGGTAGATGAGAGCAGAATTTTCAAAGGCACACATGGCAATTAGGCGCCCAACTATTATTGAAAGTCAATGGGAGTTAGGCACTTAACTGCCAGTGTATCTTTTAAAAAGCTCCTTTATAATTAGCTATATCTGATAAAAGGAAACTAGATGCTTTAACTCTTAGTCGTACACCTCTACCTCGATATAACGCTGTCCTGGGGAGCCAAAAAATCTTACCACGTTATAGGTGAAGCCACATTATATCAAACTTGCTTTGATCCACCGGAGTGCGGAGCCCCGCCCCCCCGGAGCACTGCTTTACCGCGTTATATCTGAATTCGTGTTGTATCGGGTCGCATTATATCAAGGTAGCGGTGTATTTCTAAAACACATGTACGATACTGATAGTGTTTGCTCAGTCTGTAAATTAAACATTAGCACAGCGTGAAACCAGTTAGTTAAGTAGATGGTCTGCACTGTATGAAATGGCTTAATTTCAAAGTCTTACATATGGCCATAAATTCAGTTTGCCAAAACAGATCATCTGTATCTTCTTTTAGTTTGAGTTTCAGTAACGTCTGTTTTAATACAGCCAAATGTAAAGTCAAACCTCTAGGAACGAGCTTGTAGGCCTTGCATACAGAATGGGGGACTATATCCTGGGAAGCAATGACTCTGAAAATATCTGGGAGGTCATGATGGATAATCAGTTGAACATGAGCTTCCAGATGTGAGGCCTCATCTGGAGTATTGCATCTAGTTTTGGGCCCCGTACAGAAAGGATGTGGACAAATTAGAGTCCAGCGGAGGGCAACAAAAACGATTAGGGGGCTGAGGAACATGACTTATGAGAGGCTGAGGGAACTCGGCTTATTTAGTCTTGAGAAGAGAAGGATGAGGGGACATTTGATAGCAGCCTTCAACTTCCTGAAGGGGGTTCCAAAGAGGATGGAGCTCAGCTGTTCTCAGTGGTGGCAGATGACAGAACATTGAGTAATGGTCTCAAGTTGCAGTGGGGGAGATCTAGGTTGGATATTAGGAAAAACTATTTCACTAGGAGGGTGGTGAAGCACTGGAATGGGTTACCTAGGGAGGTGGTAGAATCTCCATCCTTAGAGGTTTTTAAGGCCCAGCTTGACAAAGCCCTGGCTGGGATGATTTAGTTGGGGTTAGTCCTGCTTTGAGCAGGGGTTGGACTAGATGACCTCCTGAGGTCTCTTCCAACCCTAATCTTCTGTGATTCTAATGTGATGCTGTGGCCAAAAGCGTTGGCGTGGTCCTTAGATATATAAACAGGGTAATAATGAGTAAGAGCAAGGAAATTATGTTAAGTCTGTGTTTGGCACTGGTGTGACCACCACTGGAATCCTGTTTCCAATTCTGGCGTCCACAATTCAAGGAGAATGTTGCTAAATTGGAAAGGGTTCAGAGAAGAGAGACAAGAATGATAAAGGATTGGAAAACATGCCTTCTCTTGAGGACCTTCAGTCTATCAACCTGTTTAGTTTAACAAAATGATGGCTATGGAGTGACTTGTTCGCAGTTCGTAAGAAACTACATAGGGAACAAATATTTGATAATGAATTCCTCAGTCTAACTGACAAAGGTATAACAAGATGAAGTGGCTGGAAGTCGAAGCTAGATGAATTCAGACTGGAAACCAAGGCATAATTTTTTAACAGTGAGGAAGGGTTGTGTGGATTCTCCATCACTTTTAAAACCAGATTTAGTGTTTTTCTAAAAGATGCGCTCTAGTTCAAACAGGACTTTAATTCCAGGAAGTTCAGTGACCTGTGCAGAGCAGGAGATTAGATTACATAATCACAGTGGTCCTTTCTGGCCTTATACTCCATTATTTCTAACCATTCAGTATCATTAGATTTAACACATGAATATTCAGCAGGAGGGGAAAATATTTTAAAGAATGCTTGCCAGCTGTTGCACCTTCCAAGTTAATACTTGTTTTGGAATGCCCTATAGGGTGGCCAAATTGCATATTTGGCTGGTAGTCATGTCAATATCAACGTAAGTTTGCAATCTTGTTGGGGGTAAAAACAGTTAAACCGTGAAACCTTCAGAAAAGTTAATGTGACAATTAAAACCATAACAAACTAGTTAATGCTGTAAGAATCAGCGCTAAACATTGAGCACTACCAAAAGCTAGTGTGGAAAATTTTTTAAATGCTTAATACCATTGAGAAAGGAGCAGATTTATCTTCATACTTATACATCAGATTTTCCTTTTATGGTGTTTCTTTTATGCTATTAATTTACAAGAACAATTCACATTACTGTGGACACTGTGGACTGAAGATACAGTCTTGCTGCTATAGAGCCATTTGAATTTTCAGTTCTGTGTCTTTGATTTCTGTACACTTCCTCCTTTCTTTATTTTCCTTTGGGTTTAAGTTTGATAATAGCAGCAAGTGCTTTCTGACATTGAAATTCCTGAGCGCGTTGGTATGGAATTACAGTAATGTGTTGTGGCTTGGGCCCCTCGCAGGAGTGTATCTCGCAGTCAGCCGTGAAAACCAAGTTTGAACAGCACACTATCAGAGCTAAACAGATAATAGATACTGTGAAAAACATTATGGACGCCATAAATGTGGCAGCAGCAGAAAAAAGGTAGGAGTCTTTTGTTTTTGGTATATCCAGATCATAGAGAGAGAACCATTTCCATTGCATTAATTTCCCTGTACTAGTCTAGACTTTAAAGTTCACTTATTCCTACTAGCAAGAGGTGGGTAGGGAATTTCTCTCACTGTTCAGTTTTAATACTGCTCACTCGCACCATTTCCTTATGTTTACTTGTTCTGTGTGAGGAGAAGCAAAACAGTTTTGAGGTGTGTCCAAGGATCACTGCATTCATGTTGTTGCTTTCTTCATTGTTAATGGATTATGAAGGTGGTTAGTTGACCCTATGAGCTTGTTTTTTGTCTTCATTTTAGAACTGTAAGGAGTCTTTCTTGTTGTAACCACCATTTTAGAAGCAATACTGAAGCCCATCTCATCTATAACGTCCTGTAAAGGGAAAAGGGTGAATGAGCAGGAGAGTGTGAGGGAAAGTGACAGCCAGGCAGTTTGCCAGTGGTTAAAATATCACTTTGGGTGGACTGCGCTCATGTGAGCAATCTGGTCTGTGTCACCTTTGCTCCTAGTAATATTTCTTTCCTCCTTTTGCTTATCTAATACTTTCACAATTGTATTGATTTTTTTTTTGCTTCTGAGACGGTCACATACTCTTCGCACTTTGAGTAAAGAAATTTCTCCTAACTGCCCTTGATGCCTGGTCTTTTCTTACCTCCAGCTAATGTGCTGTTGTATATTAACCTCTCCAGTTTCCCTCCTTTCTACCTGTGCTCCTCATTCAGTGGACTACACAATCCCCCCACTAAATCTCAGACCCTTCCTGAATGCACCAGCTTCTGAGAGTTTTGCATTTACATCCCTAATCTGATGCATTTTGTCAGATCTTCGATTAATTCTAAGAATGCCACTCTTGAAGTCCTCCTCTTGCATCCATTGCTTCGTTCTCTAACTCTGCTCTGCCCCTCCCTAGATCATTTGAATCAGCATGTGGCGTGGCCACTGGCTGTTCAGCTTATGTAACTTAAGCCTTTAAACTATCCTCATTTGAGCTATGAGCCCAGCACCTCTTGAGAGAGTAATATGTGGTGCAGTTTGGGTGTTTTTATTTTTCCTGGTCTTCAAGATGAGAAATACAGTTTCATTGTTAAGCAGCAATCAAATGGTGCCAGTGAGCAGTAATAGGGCAGTCTGGTCAGAGGAATTGTCTCCACTAATTTGTAGAGATAAGTTAAGACTTAGAGGGCCAGTTTCACAAACAAGATTCTTCCCCTACCGCCCTTTCTTTTTCTTTAGTAATGATACATACAACAATTGGTACCCGAATTCCAAACGCATTCTTTGTAACAGAGATTCTGTATGAAAAGCTAACTGTAATCAGTTACATTAAGAAATAGCTGTAAACTCAATAAAAAGAAGAACAGGAGGACTTGTGGCACCTTAGAGACTAACAAATTTATTAGAGCATAAGCTTTCGTGGACTATAGCCCACTTCTTCGGATGCCCTGCCCCACAGGGTGACTGGGCTGAAAAACACCCTGTGGGAGAAGCCGACACCTCGGTGTTGAAAAACAAAATGAAAGACGAGCCTCCGGGTTCGCAACAAACTGCCCTTCTTTGCGTGAGAATGCGGGGTTCTCATCCGAAGAAGTGGGCTATAGTCCACGAAAGCTTATGCTCTAATAAATTTGTTAGTCTCTAAGGTGCCACAAGTCCTCCTGTTCTTCTTTTTGCGGATACAGACTAACACGGCTGCTACTCTGTAAACTCAATGTGTATTATACTTGCATTCTGACAAGTAGGACATTTGCTTATGTCAGTTGATAGCTTTGTCAGCCCAATATGACTTCCAATTCTTTTGACTGCTTAATAAACCCTCCTGTATTAATATTACATTTCTTTGTACTCTTATGTTTCTGGGAGAACGGCTAGTGATGGTGATTTCTTTTCTGTTACTTTAGAGTTCATTCAATGGAAGAGCGAGAGGACCAGAAAGATAGGTTAGAATTTGTTCGAAACCAACTGAACATTTTAACAGAGGATATTAAGAAAAAAATCAAACAGGTTACTGAGGAAGTAGAGAACAAGGTGGGTTGCATACAAAGAGCAAATGTCTTAGATCCAAACAAAGAAGGGAATATTTTCCATCTTTAAATTCACAGTTTGGTGGCTCACCCTGGTTTTCTTTGAGTAGTGTCCCTACGGGTGCTCCAGTTCAGATGTGCATGTATCCCATGCGCCTTTAATTGGAGACTTTTACTAGCAGTGCCCATGTGGCCCATGCACACATCCTCATGTACCTCCCCCAAGGCTATATAGGGCTGAACAGGTGAACTGCCTTCAGTTCCTTCTCAATTGCCTTGGCCTGAGAGAGCAACTTAGCATGTCCACCTTGAGTGTGCCTCATCCAATTAGAATTGTTTTCTTAAGTACTCGTTTAGCTTAATATAGTTGTTAGTTTAGTTTTACTAGTGAGATGAGTGCCTTTTTTCCTCTCTCCTTTCTTTGGGGAGACTTGCCTTCCTTGGGAGGGTATGCCAAGCTCTCTGGGTTTCAACATTGCCTTACTTGCTGGGAGGCCATCCCAGTTAGCAATGGCCATTCCAAGTGTTTTAGCTGCCTAGGAGAGTCACACATTCCACAGAAATGTAACTTCTGTTCAGCCCTTAGATCCAGGGCAAGGAGATCAAGCTCTCTTTGTCCTGCTTCAGAGCCAGATTGGGAGAATCCCTTGTACCTCAGTCTATGGGCAGATCTAGTGCCCCTTCGACCTCGGCTCAGTACCCCACAGAAAGGGGATGGTTCCAGAGGCCCCAGGAAGCTTGCTCCGAAAAGACCTTGGTTTCCCACTAGGTCAACGGTCTCAGAATCATGGACCTCTCTGCCTGGTACCATAGAGGCTACAGTTTCCTTCGGCACTGACGGGGCTGGGAAGACCCGAAGTTCACAAGACCCCCGTTTGAACTAATGGTGACCTGTTCCTTTCTGAACCAGTCTATGAAGATGGCCTTTTTTATTAGTCGTTATATTGGCTTGAAGAGGTGGAGAAATCAGGACCTTGATGGTGGATCCTCCTTTTACAGTATTCTTCAAAAACAAGGTTTCCCCTATGTCCACGCTGTAAATTCCTACGTAAGGTGTCATTCGAGTTTGATCTGAACCAGTCCTATCCGTTTAACTTTTCCCCCCACCCCACCCTCCAACCATATAACTCAGGACAGGAAGCTACCTTAGACATCAGATGAACATTGGCCTTCTATCTAGATAGGACCAAACCATTTTGGAAACCTCTTAGACTATTTATCTCCATTGTGAACAGATCTAAGAGATCCACTGTTTCTATCCAGAGGCTACTGAGGTGGATTTCAGGGTGTCTTCTCACTTGCTATGATGCTGCCAATGCCCAACTTCCTGCTAGGGTATTGGCCCACTGTACAAGGTCACAATCAATGTTGCTGGCCCTACTTAAGGATGTTTCAGTAATTGAGATCTGCACAGTTACCACATTGTTTTCAATATGTACTTTCTCCAAACACTGTCTTGGTCCAGGCCTCTAGATCTGATGCAGCAGTTAGCAGTGCAGTTCTGTCTTCAGTTCAGGACTCTATTCCGAAGCGCCCACCTCCTCCTGGGGATACTGCTCCAAAGTCCCCTGAAATGGAGCACCAATAGGGACACTACTTGAAGAAGGAGGAAAGGTTACTCACCCTGTGAAGTAACTGCGTTCTTCAAAGTGTATTTCTTTCTCCTCTGCTTTGGAGTTTCCTCTGTGGGACTTTGCGGTAGAGAAGGAACTGAGGGTGGTTCACCTGTGCAGCCCTATGAAGCCTCAGCAAGTCTAAGCCCTGCCTCTGCTGCTGTGCTCCCTGTGCTCGTGTGGCTACACTGCTGTCTGGCTACACTGCTACATTTATACACACTAGTTGGAAGAGTGCTAGCATGAGTACATAGATGTGATTTTCCCCCTGCACACATACATAGCTTTTAGCGTAGACATAACTAGTTCTTTGAGATGTGTTGTCCACATGTATTCCACAACCCGCCATCCTTCTCTGCTACTCTGGAAGCCTACATCAACTGGATTCTGCTTCAGTGAAGGAATTGAAGGTAGGTTTCACTCGATTCACCCTTTGTCTTCAGCTGTCAGGTGCCAGAAGGCAATGTCCCAATTGGCCACTACTATTTAAATCGATTCTGATCTCCCATGAATGGGGTGAATGTGCACCAGAAGTGGAATACATGTGGATAATGCATCTCAAAAGACTGCGGTTACTGTAGGAGGAGAAGTAGCCATTCTTAAATTACTTCTGGAATCTTCTTTAACGGAGATGTCTGGAAAAATAAGGTCGGAGGCTGCAGATGGTGGCTCCCTTTATCTGTCAGAACTAGCTAATTCATGAGGTGCTCTTTACATTGGAGGGGGATTTTAACAACAGACTAACTGTTCACATTTTTTGATTAATCATCAGAATGAGCAAAATGTTTTTAAGCTAAATAATCTAGTGTTGCAGTTAGCATTTTAATAATTTCCTCCTTTGCACTCTGTTTTTTTGTTTTGTTTTAATGGAAATCTTCTATTGCCATGTCTACATTTTAACATTTTCAGGTTTCTTCTGCGATGACTGATGAGATTTGTCGACTCTCTGTTTTGGTTGATGAATTTTATTCTGATTTTCACCCTTCTTCACAAGTATTGAAGCTGTATAAAAGTGTAAGTAGTACCTGAGTGGTTTCATGAAAATAATTTGTCATTCACCTTGGCTCCTAGTTCTACCTTTTAGTATGTTAGTTTTAATAATTCATGCACTGTATACTCTTCGGGGAATTCTGTGCTGCTGCACAATGTAGAATTTGCGCAGAATTAATGTTCTGTGGAGAATTTCATTTCCCCCCACACACACAGAATTGGTGCTGCTGGCTGCCATTAGGGGCTGCTGGACCCAGCAGAGCCCAGCTCTCCAGCTCACAAATACAAGACACTGCCAGGGACGGGGAGGAGGGGAAGCTGGAGAGTTCTGGGCAGCTTCAGTTCCCAGCAGGCAGTGTGCAGAAAACTCCATAAAGTCCAGGACCCAGCATCAGGCTGTTTCTCTCCCTGGGCTCTGAGGGGGAGGCGGTCCTGCGGAGCTGCTGGCTGCCATTAGGGACTGCTGGACCCAGCAGAGCCCAGCTCTTCAACTTGCAAATTTTGCATTGTGCAGTGGTGCAGAATTCCCCCAGGAGTATATAGTACGTGAATTATTAAAAGTAACATAGTAAAAGCTATGAACTAGGAGCAGGTGTCTGGGCTGGGGAGGCATCCCCCAGAGCCCAGCCATGGGGAGGTAGGGAGTGCAGGTGTCTGGGCTGGGGTGGTGCCCTGCGGCTGGGCTCTGGGAGGATAGGTGGCATTGCTGTCTGGGGGGGCGGGGGGTGCGGGCGGGCATAAGGGGGTGTTTGTCTGGGCTGGGGGAGGGGAGGGTGTCCCGGCTGGGCTCTGGGGACTAGGGGGTGCAGGTATCTCGGGCAGGGTGCCCCGTGGCTGAGCTCTGGGAGTGGGGGTGTCTGAGATGGGAGCGGCAGAGCTTTCCCCCAATATGTGCCCAGTTGACACATGTGACACACCCAGATTGAGGTGCCCAACAAAAGCATAACAGAGAAACAGGAAGTGGGTTGTCGTAGGGTTTTCTTTAACTCTCTGCTCCGGGGGGAACGGGGGACAGACTCTTTTTTGTTGTCTGTATTGTTACAGACATACTTGCTGATAGGTATTTTGAAATAAAGTACCAAAATAATTGAAACTGGTGTGATTATATTGTTGTTTTGACAAATAAAAGATACAGAATTTTAAATTCCCCCAAGAATAACTGTACATTGTTTTGTGTAGGTAGTGTTCTTTCTTAGCAGTTTTATTATCCAATGTATCTGTGTATTTCTGTTATTAAATTAGATTACAATAACTAAATGATGGGGAGAAAGTTGCAAAAGATTTTGGAATTGTTTCCATTTTAGAGTTCGGGGGGAGAGGGAATTCCAAGTTTTTTAATTAATTGAAATTTTTATCAGAATGGTCACTAAAATTTTTAGTTTGGTTTATATTTACTGGTTTTTCGTAGATGAATCATTTTGCTAACCACTTTGAGAATACTTTTGATATAAATGTCAATTACAAAAAGTCACAAATTCACTGGACAAAATATTTCGGAGTCAACAATTCATGGAAATTTTCACTTTAAAAAAAGGCCATTTTTTGTTGTTTGAATTTCTACCAACTTTAACAGTAACTTTTAAAAGGAGCATACATTCCAAGATCGTCTCGTGAGCCTGGTACTCAGAGGCCCTGATCATGCTCCCATTAAAGTGCATGTCAAAATTTCCATTGACTTTAATGGTGTGGAATCAGTCTCCTATTGAGCAAGTAATCTACATTTCTAGGATTGAATGAGTATTCTACCTACCATCACTGCTCCCAAAGCATTTATACTTTGACTTCCACCAATATTGTTGATTGGTTTCTCTTTGTTCAGGCCAGTGAGGTGGTTGTCATCAGACCAAGACAATTCTGACTTTCCAAAGTAATATAGTGGCATTATGCCGGGGGTGGGTAAATTTTTTGGCCCGAGGGCCACATCTAGATATGGGAATCGTATGGCGGGCCATGAATGCTCATGGAATTTAAAAATTCAGAGATATTCAAATAAACTTTATTTAATAAAGATACATTTTAGTGGAAATAAACATAAAACCTTACTTACTATTATAAATATACTGTCATAACAACGTATTACAATAATTAAACCAAACTTACCCCCTTTCCATACCCTCTTTGATTAATGTGAACAATGCAGCTGGTCACCCTTAACAATGGAAAATTAACACTACTAAAACATCAGTGTCACGTAAGCCAACAAGTAGCAGGCATGTGGACTTGCATGTTCCAGGCTCTGATGGCACGTGAAGCGCATTTGGGTTGTGCAGCTGGAGTAACATGCATGCCCTCACGCCCATCACGCAGGTCCTGAACATGCAGGAGCGCCGGGCGGAGCAGGGCAACCCCGCGACCCCGCTCCCTGGCAGGAGAGGGGCAATGAGCTTGAGTGCCAGATTAAAAGGTCTGATGGGCCAGATGAGGCCAGTGAGCCGTAGTTTGCCCACCCCTGCATTATTCTCTCTGAAACAGTTGTGCTGAAAACTGAGACACATTTTTCAGCTACCTTTTTAATGATCGCAATGTTACAGATATCAGCCCTTTTTAAAATTCTAGTTACCGTATATACTCAATCATAAACTGGTTCGTTTATAAGCCACCCCCCCCCCAAGATGGATAAGTAAAAATGGAAATTTTTTATGACCCATTCATAAGCCGACCCTATAATTCAGGGGTCAGCAAACTTTGGCTCCCGGGCCATCAGGATAAGCCGCTGGCGGGCCGAGACAGTTTGTTCACGTCGAGCGTCCTCAGGCACAGAGGTAAACCTAAGTAAACAAAGTGTCCCGGTGCGCCACTGGCTCACCCTGATGGGCTGGGACAGCAACTGGTGGGGAAATTTGGCGGGGGAGAAGCTGGGGGTCGGGAGTAACCCCTGTGACCACCTCCCATATGACCCCACTAGCCTGGGACTCCCACACTCTCTCCCTCCCATCCCTTCCCACCTTAGCTGGGGTGGGCCAGATGAGGATGTCTCTGGCCTGGCAGGATAGGCGGCGCGGCCGCAGCCTGCTCCGGTGGGCCCGGGCCGGGTGGCGCAGCTGCTTCGGAGGCTGGGGGGAGAGCAGCGTGGCCAGAAGTGGAGACACTCTGGCCCCGCCTCTTCCCTTCTGGCTGTGCTGGCTGTGAAGCCTCTCTTTGCCCCCTCTGTTGGGGGCGGGAGGGGCTGTGTCCCACCTCTCCCTTTCTATACCCGTTCATAAGCCGACCCCCTTCTCCGGTGCTTCCCTTTTTTACTAAAATAATTCGTCTTATAAACGAGTATATACGGTAGTTTACCATGAGAATTTATAATTTGAGTGCGTGATCATTCTCCAAGTTCTCCTCCTCCCCACCATGGATAACAATATGTTCAAAGATTATAGGGATTTCTTGCATTCAGCATATTTCAAAATTGTTCTAACATAGCTGGCTTGTTGATATTAACTTATGTACATGCTTTCTTCATGAAACATTAGGAGCTCAACAAGCACATAGAAGATGGTTTGGGAAAAAACCTGGCTGACCGTTGCTCCGCTGAAGTCAATCAGTCAATGCATCAGTCACAGCAGGAAATGATTGGTAATATTTATACAGAGTAATGTTACTTTCACACAAATATGAGTCTGAACATGGGCAGTCTCCAGCTTAACCCAAAAAGGACTTTGTCTGCATAGAGTTGTTGTTTGTATTGGGGCAGCATCAAGAAGTCCCAATCATAGGTCACAGCCTCATATGCTAAGCACTGTACACATGAATAATGGAGAAACAGTTCCTCCCTTAACAATGTTTAATCCAAGTAAATTCCTACTTTTACTTGTTCCTGTCTAGACAATTACATACTGTGACTGGGATTTACTGAGTTATAATCTTATAACGCTTTACAGATCCAAAGTGCTATGCAACTGTTACTTCCCACAGGGCTTGTGGGGATTGGGTAGGAGTAATTATTATCCCGATTTGGAGAAGCTGTGAAACAGAGATTAAGTGATTTATGTGCCTGAGGTGATACACTGAGTTAGTGGTAGAACTGAGATTAGAACACAGGACTTCCCCACTGACTCTAGATCTGCTACCTTTCTTCCCTTCCTGTGTGTCTTTAACCTCTGTATGGCTAGCTTAGGGAAGGGAACTGAGTAAAATAACTTGAATTAACAGTGGCAGTGTTAAAATATAGGCAGTACCTGATTGTCAGATATTTCTTAGTGTAAGCCTTATCCTAGTTCACTCAGTGCAAACTAGGATTCTATCCTGAAGCTCACATTTTGGTGCGGTCTCCTGTTTCTCTACTCCTTTTGTTAAACGCCAGTCCAACCACCCAGTCTGAACTGATTCCTGCTAATGAAACAGTCAGGTCTTGAGGAAATATATGAAGCCTTTAGTGACCTATTCCTGAGATCTTGAGAAGTCACCTCTTCTTTATTTCTACCCAAGGCTATTGGGATTGGCCAAGTAGTCCTTTGTCCATCCTGGACTTCAGGACTCTAGCTAGAGATCTTTCTGATTGGTTCAGTTAATCTCTGACCATTTTTCCCCTTCTTGTCACCACTGCCTTTCTGGATGGCTTTTTCTTTTTCCATTTTGTTTCGCTGGAATGATCAATAGTTGATCCTAATGGGACAAACAACGTTTAAACTGTGCAGTGCACAGAGCTGAGCACTCTCTTAATTATAATGGAAATTGCTAAGTAGACAAACTGGTAGGTTAGGCCTCAGTTAATACTGTTGCTTAGGTGTTTGTATCTGGCTTTTTGAATTTCAGAATTAGTGCATCATATGACCATCCCAAGATGGAGTAAAGTTTTGCATAGTAATTAAATTTTGCTCATCCACTTTGTTTTTAGAAAATCTGACGCCATTATTACCTTCTGGTGTTCAGAATCAGCTTCAGTTGCTAATTCCATGCAGGAAGTTTGACCTCAGTTACGATTTGAACTGTCACAGTCTGTGTTCAGATTTTCAAGAGGATATCACGTTCCGCTTTTCCCTGGGGTGGACCACCCTTGTAAACCGCTTCCTAGGCCCAAAGAATGCTCATAGAGTGCTACTCGGGCTGGCAGATCCAACCTCACAGGTGAGTGCTTCCCAGGTCTTTCAGAATGGATTGGGTTGATATCTGATGTTTTCTATACATTATTTTACATGTGTATTAATAACTTGGTGTGTTGTCTGCTCACCATGTTCCCTTTGTCTGAAACTTGTTTTGGTGAGGGTTGTTATTACTGGGTTATATTCATGGATGAAATGGAGCCAGAACATCTTTCTAGTACTTCCTGCAGCTACTGTGTGTTCTTGAGGACTCTGATTTTTGTTTTACCTCTGTATCTAACCTTGTGGTCACCTCTTCATTTACAGTTTTTGTATAATTAAAGTGGAGCAAAGCCAGTCCTACTTCCCTCAACCTTATGGACTGTCTGACTAGTTGGGGCAATGGAGTTTTTAAATGTCAACACTAACAAGTGGAAAGAAACTATGGTTTCCTGCTGTTGTGATAAATGTAGCAATAGCCGCTAGGGCTCCAGATGTTATCCCTCCCTGCTCCCCTTATAAAGCTGGAGAGGCTGTTCAGATCTGGGATTTTGGTTCAGCCCATCATGAGGTCACCATGAAATTTGGCTCTAGGGTCCACTTAGAACTTTGCCCTAGCTTCAAAGTAAAAAAAAATCATGGGTGGATGGGTCCATTTGTAGGGGAGTGAAGGGCTGAAAGAACTGCCAGATGGGCACAGGGCTGCTAGAATAGTGGAGAGTGGCTAGGAGTTGATGAGGCATAGTGGGAATCGAACAGAACTAACTACAGTCCAGTCTAGAAGCCTTAATTATATTTCAGGAATTTGGGGCAGCTCTTCGCTTCTTGACCTACCCCTGTCTGGGTTGATGAGGGAGATTTTCAGGAAAGACCTATCTCTTGTTAAGTTACTAATCAGTTTGCTGAACAACTAATACTCCATTACTGCTGTTCAGGGTTAAACAAATGAAGAGCGTTTTTGAATCTTCGATGATCTTATCCACTTAAAAAAAAAAAAAATAATAATAATAATAAAACCAAGCAGTTTGTTCTAGAGTTCCATAATGCTTATCACTCCGTTTGCCTTATTCTGCTCTTCTAGATCCCTCGTCCTTTAGCTTCCACCCCCTCTGCCACCTGTCTTCCTGCCGTAACTCCAGAGAACATATCACAGGAGGAACTCATGGTTTCTTTGGTAACGAGTTTAGCTTCACTAACATCACGGACATCTATGAGCATCATCATCGTTGGAGGAGTGGCAAGTAGCATTAGCAACCACCTCTATAAATGGAAAGCATGGCAGAGACTATTCCAAATGTACTCTTTTGACTGTTTGGGATGCCATCACTGCTGCATAGAATTGATGCTTGCTCTTTAGAATCAGTCTAATTAGCAATGGGCCTAGTCCTCAGATGGCATGAATCAGCATAGCTCCATTCAACTCATGACTTAAAAAGAACTGTGTCGAATGAAGTTAGTCTTACTAAACAATAGGTGCACTTTCCTTTCATGTGCTTGATAAGCCCCTTGCAATCACAGGTGAAATCTAAAAATTAGTATTTAGCACAGTAAAGAATTGTTTGCTAATCAGTTTAGCCAAGGTTTCTTTGTAAATGGCTACAGAATAGTTAATTTAAAATACTTAAACTGAGTGATCAGTTTATTAGATTTCTTTGGTCTCCATTGTGGGTTTTTTTAAATTTACTCGTCATAGGCAAAGGCTCCAGGAATCAGTCATGCTATACTCTAACCTCTATGACTCTACACCATGGTTCCAATCCTGCAACCCTTACTTATGTGAATAAGGGATGCAAGATCTCTGGCATCAGAACCACTTTGCAAACTAGATGGGGTATCTAGGATAAATACTTTTTGTCTAATGCAGCAAAATCTTTACATCTTCATGGCTAAATAGCACTGCAGTAAAGGGTATAAGATGCATTAAATGCTTGTAGTAAGTATGTAATAAGAAAACTGGCTGAGTAGGGTCATGTTGGAGCCTATATTTATTCCATACAAATGTGCTCAGTTTTTAAATTATAAAATGATTTGATTTTTTTTGTCAGACTCAATTTGGAATT